ATGATGTTGATAATCTTTTCATGTATTTGCCATCTGTATTTTTACTTCAGTGGTGTTTGTTCAAATATTTTGCTCATTTAAGAAGTTAGATTTTTGTCTTATCATTGAGTAGTAAGAGTTCTTTGAATATGCTAGATGCAAGTCTCTAATTGGATATATATTTTGCAAATATTTTATTTCAATGGCTTACTTTTTATTTTCATAACAGTGTCTTTTGAAAAGCAAAATGTTTTAACTTTGAATAAGTCAAATTTATCAATTTTTTTCCTTTTGTAGTTAATGGCTTTTGTCTCTTCTTTAAGAAATCTTCGCCAAACCCAAGATCACTAAAATTTTCTCCTGTATTCTTTCAGAAGTTTAATAGACTATACCATCTTGGTATGGTTTTACTAAAAAACCCCTACTGTTCTTGAATTTCTTGTTTATGAACTTCCGATGATGATACTAGATTGAGATGTCTCACACACACACACACACACACACACACACGGCAGCAGAGAGATATAGCAGAAGGGCACATGGACTATAGCAAGGAAGCCAATTTGTCTTTTTATTATCTTTTTTACCCACTATACAGATGGACCTGTGAAGCTAATGGAACAAAATATATGAAATCAAGATTGTACTAGAAATCCAGGCTGTATGATCACCAAATTTATGCCTCTCTGCACCCCATAATGTAGAGGTTTGAAGAAAAAAAGAATAATAAGCAAACATTTATTGACTAGGTGCCATGCCAAACACTGTGTTGAGAACTTTATATTCAAGGTATAATGTATATTATATTATTATTTTTTAAAGATTTTATTTATTTATTTGACAGAGAGAGAGACAGCTAGAGAGGGAACACAAGCAGGGGGAGCGGGAGAGGGAGAAGCAGGCTTCCCGCTGAGCAGGGAGCCCAATGCGGGGCTCAATCCCAGGACCCTGGGATCATGACCTGAGCCGAAGGCAGATGCTTAACCGACTGAGCCACCCAGGTGCCCCGATATATTTGTTAAGATAATACACAGCTGTCATAACTGATAATCCTTGAAAACCCAGGGGCTTAATACAATAAAATTTTATTTCTTGCTCTTACAAAGACCAATTTGCAGTTGATTAGGTGACTCTGCTCCACACAGTCATTCAGGGACACAGGCTGATGTGGATTCTGCCATCCTTAACCTGTGGCTTCTGTGGTCATCTTAATGTCAGTCTCCAGATAGGGGAGAGGGAGAATGTGGAACGTTACAAAGAGGGTGTTTTTGGCCAGAGCTCACTTTGTTATCTGACCACATTCAGACAGCTGGGGTGGGATTGGGGCAAGACATGTAGATTTTTTTTTTTTTAAAGATTTTATTTATTTGACAGAGAAAGACACAGGGAGAGAGGGAACACAAGCAGGGGGAGTGGGAGAGGGAGAAGCAGGCTTCCCGCTGAGCAGGGAGCCCGATGCGGGGCTCAGTCCCAGGACACTGGGATCATGACCTGAGCTGAAGGCAGACGCTTAACGACTGACCCACCCAGGAGCTCCTATTTTATACTTAAAATGGCTTTATATGTTGGTTCAATTATTGTCTCTCCTTTCTTTTCACATGAGAAGATTATATCATAAAGAAGTAAAATAACTTATTCAGGTCATCTGGCCAGGTCTGTCTAATGCTAGAGCCCAATGTTCTTAGTCACCAGTAATAATAGCTAATAAATATTGGCTGCTTACTGTGTGATAGATTCTGTGCTAAACCCTTTACAAGTATTAACTAATTTTTAAATTTTTTAAAGTATTAACTAATTTAATCTTTAGAACAAAGCTAGATAGTAGGTATGACTATTAGGCCTTTTTTACAGATGAGGAAACTGACATACTAGACTCCAGTTCTCACAGCTGCTAAGAGCAAAGTCAGGATTTGAATCCCTGTGATCTGGCTCTTGAGTCTTTCCTTGTAACCATCATGCTACTCCGTTTCTTCAAGAAGAATAACTGATGGCTGTATTTGTTGGGTAAATCAAGCAAATGCCCCAAATGAATCTTCCTCTCCAGCAACTTTTTCAAATGTAAGGTTTCTTTTACACCCCCTTGGCACCTGCCCTCAGTGACTTGTCACTCTCCTGTTCCTTCTCCACCTTCCCGCCATGATTTACCCTGGCTGTGGTGTCCATGGTGATAATAAACAGAGCGATCCACGTATGTGCTAGTGGGAGAGGCCAGGGGAGATGGCTGCCTCCCTAAGCAGCAAGAGCCTCAGAAGAACCTTAGAGCCTGAGGTAGAGCCCTCTAAAAAGAGTGGCTCCTCTTGGACTCTTTAATCCATTTGTATCCACCACTGGCTTGGTTAAGGGAGAGGGCAGGGCCACTGAAGACCCACAAGAGGAACCTATGGATTGCCTGTAGTTTTTCAAACATCCCACCACTTGAGTATTGTGCAGAGAGAGATATGACTTAGGCTTGAGTCCTCCCCTTTTGCCTTAATTCTTGTGACTTTGGGCAAGTTTCTTAACCTCATTTCACTTTAGTTTCTTTGTAAAAGATAGAGACAAGACTGACTTCATAGGAATTTTGATGGTCTAAGTAAGCCGTTGTATGTAAATGATACGATAATAATGTAATAACGTCTAGCATTTATTAAGTGCCCAGTCTGTGTGAGATACTCATAAGAGCGCTTTTTGTAAGTTAACTCATTTAAAGTTCACAACAGTATGGAACAGGTACTATTATTATCATCACTGTTTTACAGATGAAAGACCAAAGCACAGAGGGACTAAGATATTTGTCCACAGTCACTCAGCAGAGATCAGAAAAACTGCAGCATGAGCCTCAGCAGCCTGGTCCTAAGCACTGGCATTTACTGAACTTGCGTAAGTATTTCCCTTGTCCTTTAAAAAACAAAACAAAACATGAAGAGCCTTTTCTAACCTGTTGTTTGGAAACCAGTGTGTTATAGCCAAACTTGAAGCGATCTGGGATGCCCAAGGGAGTGCTTACCCAGGTCTGGACTGGTTGATGTAGGTTCCAGTTTTGGCTGTGACCAGCTGTGTGACCTTGGCCAAGGACATTCCACCTCCCCGAGTCCCATGTTTCACTTTTATAAAATGTTGAGGGGGGTATACTAGTTAATTTCCAAGGTCTGTTCCAGCTGTCACATTCCTCACGTCTATGATTCTGTGATTAAGTTCCTGGGAGGTTTAAGTACTGATAAAGGTGCCATTAAGTTCTGTATACTCAGCACTGGCGGCAGTCTGTTACCTAAGATACCTGGGACAAGCAGTTGTGGGGTGGGGGTGGGGGCAGGGTGGGTGGACAGGAAAAGCCCCTTGTCTGGCAACTGTGTGTTGTACTGTAGACCATGGGAGACTGTTCACCAAAGCGCAGTGTCACCAAATTTCCTCTGATTCCGGGCCATAGTATATTGAGACTGACCATCAAAGACTGTTTCCTAACAAGAGAACCTTGTGCAGTAAGTTCCTCAGGCAAGTGACCAGATATCTGAGACAGGATTGAATGGGTCTCAGGCAGAGAAACTTGGAGGACGAACCTATTTGGGCAATGAACTGGTTGACCCGGGGCCTCTCTGTCTATCATTCCTTGACCTCAGGTCAGGGTGCTAGAAAGGAGGAAAACAACAGAGGCAGCAGGGGACACTTGCCCTGCAGTCTTGGAGACGAATAAGTGACTGTTTGTCCCACATGGGTTCGTCATTCACCTGCGTGAAGGCAGAGGGCTGCGTGTGTAGAGTCTGTGACCTGCTGGACGTACTTTGGGCCATAAGGTCCTTGCCCTCCATATGGTGGCTGCTCATTATAAAACCCTAAAGCTGGGTTCTTCGAGGTGATTGCTGTAGCAATGATGATCACCGCCACTGACCCAGTGCTTGCTCTATGCCCGGTTCCGGTCAAGAACTTTTAGCCCCGTCATGGTAAAGACCCTGTGTCCTAGCTTGGCCGCCCATTGGCTGTGAGACTGCTGACAAGTCAGGTACTCTCTTTTTGCAATTCAATTTCTAAAACTGTAATACGGGGGCAATCTATGTAAAAGTACACAGAGGCATACAAATGTGAAATGACTTTTAAAAAAAGGTCAGTGGAAGATTTATGAGCAAATGCACACAAAGCCCTAGGCACACAGGAAGTATTCAATAAGTGTCCTAGACTGGGTTTTTGGTATTCCTCTAAGGCAAAACTGACGGCTGTCCCTATGGCTCTAGCATCCTCAGAGACTAAAGCAGGGCCTGGAGCACAGCAGGTACTCACCACTTTATATGATCAAGGCGCCTCTCCGCAGGGAAAGTCAAACTGTCATGCGTTTTTATGTATCCCTAAATTTGTAACACTTAAGCAGAGACCCAGACAAAACATACTGTTAGTAGGAGACTTTAATGACCCCCTTGCCCATGGTAGAGCAGCTGGACAAAAAAATATGCAAAGATACAGAAGACCTAAATAACATAAATGTAAAGAAGATCAAATGAGGTAGCTATCTCCACATTCTGAAGATAGAAAAACACCTTCCTTCAAGAGGCCACGGGACATTGACAAAAACTGACCACAGAGAAATTCTCAATACATCTCCAAAAGGAAGCGGTACAGATGAAATTGATTTCAATATAACGAAACTAGAAATTAAAGACAAAATGGGAAAACATGAATCACTACTGTCAAAGAGGAAATCAAAAGGGAAACTGATATCAATAAATGTTCTATTACCCAGAAGCACCCAGCTAACAGTGGCAGAGGGGAGACTGCTAGAATCTGGGTCTCCTAACGGAGCCATTCAGCCACGGACTGGTCTGCGAGTCGGGACAAGTCTCCCTGAGCCTCGGCGTCCCCCTCTGTCAAACGGACTCGAGGGCCCCCAGGGTCCGGCCGCGGGTTTGAGGCGCGGTGGGGGGTGGGGGGGGCGGGTTTGCGGGAGGCGCGCGAGCGACAAGGTTCTGGAAGTCAGGGAGGGTGCGGGTGTTGAGAGAAGGCAGCAGAGGGCGCTGGGTCGCCGGCCTGGGCCCGCGGCTGCCATTGGTCGGGCTCGGGCGCCGGGCTGGAGAGTTGGTGGAAAGTGACAAGTTGAGGGAGGCTGAGAGCCAGAGAGCGAGCGCGCGGAGCGGGAGGAGCCGCCGCAGCCGCCACCGAGGGAGCCCCGGGACGGCAGCCCCCGGGCGTAGGGCGCGCTCTGCTCAGAGTCCGAGCCGGGGGCACTCGCCTCCCGCGAGCGCGACACCGACAGCCCGGGACTGACCGGCCGGCGGAGGCGAGGCTGCAGCCGGAGGGCTGAGGAGGGACCCGCGCGCGTACGGGGTCCAGAGGCGGCCGGGCGGAGCGAGGGAGCAGGTTTAGAGGGACAAAGAACTTTGCAGACGCCCCCGGCATCCTGCGCGGAGAGCGGCCGGAGCGAGGTGGCCGGGACCCCGGGCAGAGCCCGTGGATGTTCTGCGCGCGGCCTGGGAGCCGCCGTCGCCGCCGCCGCCGCCGCCGCGAGAGGAGGAATGCACCGGCCGCGCCGCCACGGGGCGCGCCCGCCGCTCCTGGCGCTGCTGGCCGCGCTGCTGCTGGCTGCGCGTCGGGCCGCTGCCCAAGGTAAGAGGCGCATCCGCCGACTCCGGGGCCCGCCCGGCCCCCGGCGACCCTCCGGTCGGCCGCCCGGCCCTGGGCAGCCGGGGAGCACCGCGCCCGCCGGGCGCGGGGCGGCCGGAGACCGTCGGGGGTCTCGCAACCGCGACTCCGGGCGCCGGGGAGGCGGGCGAGGATTTGCCCCGGGAGCCCCGCTGCGGTCCGGGGGCGCGTCCGGGGGCTTCCTCCTCGGCGCCCAGCAGCAGTTGTCAGCGCTGACAGGAAGCGCGGAGGGGTCGTGGGGCGATGGGGGCACCTCCGACCCGTTGGTCCCCCTGTCCCCTAAAGCGCCCTAACCGGTGTTCAGGCAAGTCTGCGGCGCCCCCAAGTAGCAGCCGTCCCGGAAGGCGCGGTCCAGGAGGGAGTTTGTATTTTCAGCGGTGCCTGCGAGAGCCCAGGCTGTCCGCAGACCGACCCAGACAAAAGCCCTGGCCTCCCGAGGCTCGGGCGGCCTCACAGATCCGCCGCCCCCGGCTCTCCTGCCTCCGGAGGCTCACGATGGAGGCCACAACGTGTGCGCTGCCGCCGTCGCCGCCACTTTGTGCAAAATGTGCTGTCAGAGGCGGCCTGCGGCTCCAGTGCTCTGAGCGTGCACGTGCGTGTGCGTGTGTGTTACACGCAAGGGGGGAAAAGCCATCTAATGCATACTTGATTTTGGTAATCTCCAGAGACAATTGCAACAGTTAGAGAAAGACTCCACCGAAAGCCCGAGCGTCTTAGTTCGCTGCGGGAAGCTTGGATCCTTGCTGCGTCTGAGCCGGTACACAATGAGAGGGAAGAGCCCGGCTGCGCCTGTGGAGACAACCGATTCATTCTTTGGAGGTTGGAGGGGGAAAGTTGATTAAAGTCTCCGGGGTCTTGGGGCCTCACTTTTAACATGCATCCCTTGAGGGGGTGCTGGAGTCCCTGGATTCTGCCCTCCCCCACTCCCAGCCCAAACCGGTGCAGATAAATAGGTTTCTGCTCTTTTATCATGCATCTTTCATTTTTAAGTTAGCGCTGTGCTTTGGAAAAGAAAAGACTTTGGGCTATTTAGCAGTTGAGGGGAAAAGATCTGTTCACTGCTTACTTAGACCATGGCTACAGAATTAGTTTTTACTAAAATCAAGCTCATAATTTTCGTGGTAGGAACACACTCTGGAAAGAAGTTGTGTGTGAATTTTGATTTCTTAGAGTTGGGTTTGGGGAAGTGAGAACCACATTTTCTGAGAAAAATTCTGAGATTGATCCCGTAGTGTGGTTGTGGTAATCTAGAGGCTCCTCCGGGTAAATAGAGCTCCTAATTGTAATTAAGATGTACATCAGCAGGGAGTGCACCTTCCTGATGAAAAATACTAATGAAATGTAAACAGCTTGGTCTCATGGATGTTTGCTTCCTTCAGGGATGCCAAACATCCTGCCCCATGCCACAACACCTGGGTGAAAAGTAAAAACTGGGCCATGCTGCCTAGTTGCCCAGCAAATTGAGGTGGAGATAATCAGGGAAGGGCTCTTAGCTTGGGTCCTTGATTAATTCGGTAATATCCTCTCTCAACTTCATTTACTTATATATAACCTTTCAACAGCGGTTGCTTTTGGATCTTGGGGGTGGGAGGGGGGAGGAGTGGACCTTTCTTTGGTCACCTGCTTTTAAATAAATGTCCATGCAATGATTTTGCTGAGTGTAAGACAATTTTATTATCAACAATCAGCCAAATTGTCTTGTTTAACTGTCTACAGACTTTTAAAATTAAGAGGGAAAAAAAAGAGTATCGCCTATTCCAAACTCTTCAATAGTGAGCCCAAATCTGTTATTTTTGTCTTATTTGTCATCTTATAAATCCCTTTCCATTTTTGTGAATGCTTGATCTTTTCTCTGGGGACAAGTCTTCCAGTGGAACTCAGATTTACTTTCTTGTCTGATTCAGGATTCTTAAAGTAACCCAACCAGTGGCTCAAGAAATCAGCTTAAGGGGAGACAGGTTTCAGTTACTTATTTAAAAAAATGGTCAGTATTTCTCCCATTATTGTTTTTTTTAATTTTGTTAGCTAGGAGGAGCGAACCTTTACATTTTCTTTTTCTGGCCTATTCATTGTTGATCTCCTCCTCTACCTCCTACCTACCTAGAACTAACCCTTTCTGGGAAGCTGAAGCCATTAATACTGGGTACCCAGAGCTCAGGGCCTTAGGAACCCACCTGGGCCTTTCTCAGAATCCTGTAGACTGTGTGGTTTGCCTCTTAGAGTCGGAGGGAGGTGGCCTGCTACTGTGTTTGCTGTCATTTCATAAACCTTCCAATGCCATTTTAATAGGTGTCTGTCCTGTCTACTTTTAGAATAGGAGTCTCTTGAGGGCAATAAGACTGTCAGCTTTCCTGGTGAAAACACTGAAAGCCAAGTCAACCAGCCCCAACTTTATTGGAGATGCCTGAAAATCCTCCCTAGGGGAGCCACACAGAGGCTTAATAGACAAAGGGTGTGGTCAAGCTGCCTCTGGCCATGTGTTGGAAATATTTAATCCTCCGTATTGATTCAGCATACCTGGTAGGCTGTTTTGCTACTCTGATGCTGGGATTATCTTTCTGCTATTTACTTAGGAGTCTTGAAAAGCTCAGCCTTGGTCTGTATTTTCCTTTCTCCATCTCCTGCCTGGTGAGCCCAGCCCTCAAATTAGATTTTAAAGTTTCCAAATGGTGTGTCACTCGCGTCCGTTAGTATCCATGTTGGCTGTGGTTTGATGGAGACTACATACCCCATTTTGAATATTTTTGAGAAGTTTGCACAGCATCATATGTAGAATGGAATCCTTTGTAGCCTATATGTATATTGATGTAAATGTATATCTACATACAAATGACATATGTGTGTGTATCTATATAGTAAGTGGTCCATAGATTTTTGTTGAATGGAGAATAACTTTTTTGGTTGCATGTAAAATTGTGGTGTCATATTTGCTTTTCTTAGTAAAAGTGTGACATGACATACTTTCAAGGACTTTCCTTTTCTTGCCCCATCGTTTAGTATGAAGGGAGTATAGTTGAAGTTAACAGTAGAGCTTAATGGTTATGCGCACAGGCATTGGAGTTTAACAGACGGGTTTGAATCTTCTCTGCTGCGTCCTGGGGTTGTCGACCAGTTTTTCTGAACCTTACCAGAGTGTTACGAGATTTTAAAGTGAAACTGTGTGTGTCAAGTGCTAGAGAAGAGCACCCAGCTGAGAGGGTCTTAAGTTGGGGTACCTGAAACTGAGGATATGCAACCCCCCAGAAATAATATACAAAAATCGATGTGCATTTTTGTGGTTGTATGTTTCTAGCTATAAACTGATATTCTGAGAAAATGGCAATCCCAACAAGATAGGAACCATTGTTTTAGAGTGTTTGATGCCTGGGGCAATAAGTTGCCTTCCTGGGTAGGTTGCAAGGGCTTGAGGGTTGGTGGTGGGTGCTGGGCCTGAGTCTAGATCTGCACAATTCGTGGAGTCTCTACTTCTCCTCACTTTTGCAGTTTCCCTCCCACCAGGCCAGTTGTTATTGGGCTTAGGAGAAGCTAAAGAATGGTGCCAAGTCCTTTGACCTCAACTAAGTATGTATTTCCCTGAATCCAAGCATTCTGAAATGCCTCTGTTTATACAATTTATTTAACAAACACTTGGGTAATCCTTACAATGGGCCAGTGACCGTTCTGAGCAATTTGCAAATATTAGCTCACTGAATCCTCACCACCAATCTATGAGGGGGCTGGCATAATTAGCTCATTTTAAGGTAGACACAGAGAGGTTAAGTGACTTTCTTCAAGGTCACATGGTTAGGAAATGGCATTGCTGGGCTTCCAAACCCTGAGTTCATGCTCTTCACTGCTGCCCTAGACAGTCTCTCCTGGTTTAAGTCTTAGAATTTATGCTATGTGTGGGCCAAAGGAGCCATTTCCCCATGTTTTGCAAGAGCAATGGGATGTTTTCTTAGCTCTATCTAGGGGTTACAAGAAATGATTGGAGACAGCCAACTTCAGTTTTTCTTTCTGTGCTGGAGTTCCCTGAGCCAGTCTTGCTGCGACTCAGGGATAGACCGGAAGGTTCTTTGGTGGTCTGCACCTCTGATCAGGAGGAAGTATGCTGTTGTCCTGAACTACAACTTTAATGTGGTTTGAGGAGTGTGTCTGGCAGTTTCTTCCAACCAGCGATGAGCTGTATTTTGATGAAGTGCCTTTGCATTTGCATCTTGGTGTACAACTGGGGTTGTAGGCTGAGCGGAGTGATTTATTGGAGTACTCTTCAGTGGGAGAGCTGGCTTGCCAGCCCCAAGGTCCCCATGTAGACTAGACCCTGGCAAATCCAGCCCCAGCTAGGGAACACTCAAGTCTCTGAGGCCTTCTTCTCAAACAGAAGGGCCGCAACCTGGCCTTCCCAATTCCCCTGAGGTGTGACAGGAGAAACTGTTCTGTAGACCCACGAAGAGAAAGGAATAGTCTTCTAGGAGTCTGAGAAAGTTCTCTGGAGTTGAGGGGGAGGGGACGGCGGGGGGGTGGGGTAGGGTGGGGTGGGGCAAACTCTTCGAAATCCTTAACTAAATGCAGCTGCTTGTTACACGGAGCCTGACTTGCATGCCAGGAATATCTAAAAAGCTAACGAATACAAAATAAAAATAAACAGCAGTAAAAAGGCTCTCTCTTTGTTGCAGTAAGCTCGGTTGGGGTTTTCAGTTTGTTTAGGAATGGGATAATTGTGGCATCCACTTTATTTTGGTAAGGCAGTGAAACGTGGATTGATGTTATGTCATTGGGATGCTCCCACCACCTGAACTTTTTCCTTCACACCTACCCCTCCGAGCACCCAGGCAGGGACATCCACCGGCCCGAGTCTCAAACTGTTGCCCCTGAGTGAATTACACTGGAAGAGGGCAGATAATTTAATGGGATAATCTTGGCAGGGCCAGCAGATTTCACACCCCATCTCTCACTAATAGAAAGGCAATAGAAGGCTACAACAT